GGTTTTAAAAATTACAAGAAACCTATTTTTCTTTACTTGGAAGATGGGATACAGAATATAAGGTTGTATGACTCCGCATGACCCCTTCCCTCCCAGCTTCACACACAAATAAGGATTTAAAAGTGTTTGGAGGATAAGTCTCTGTAATAGCAAACCTTCATTGAAACTTAGCAAACTTGGGGAATTTTTAACTAATTTTTGTCTCATACTTCCTCTCTGATGAAGTAGACAGTATATTAGATAAGATATGTGAAAATGCCTGAGAATAGTGATGGCATACAGGTTTTTAAATGTTTTACTGTTTATTTGCCCCGTGATGTTTTTATCTTGTCAGTTAATTGATTGTTGTCCAGTACATCCAAAACAGTTTTAGTGATGTATAACACACACACACACACACACACACACACACACACAGAGAGAGAGAGAAAAGTATATATACTATATGTATTGATATATAGCATGAAAGGCTTAAGATCAGTGGGGACTGTATTCTTTGTTCAGAGGTTCCCCTTCCCCACAATTCAGAGTTCAGGTTTTAAGCAAGTTTTTGTTATAATATTCCCTTAACTGTTCTAAATATGAATATTACTCTCTTACACACCTATTACTTCATTAGTGTACCACCTATATTATTTTGTAGAGAGCTTTTAAGAGCTGATTTTACTATAGCTATAGGTAAAGATTCATAAAAGCAAACCAGAAAACAGTTCTTACGCTTTGTTAAATTAGCTACTCAAGCTTATGGTGAAGTTAACTTATATCACACAAAATATGTGCAAGACACTTTCACCCATTACTCTTTAATTTCTTATTTTCCTAGATAACTTTTTTTTTCCTTCAAATATTCTTTTTTGATAGGGGACAGGATAAATTTAGTTTGTCATTAATTTGGTTGACAGATCTTAAACTAACGTACTTACAAAGCTATATTATAAAATAAGCATTAAGTATTTTATTTAACTGATATTGATAAATGATAGCAGATTAGTTAATATTACTTAGATATTTCTAGGTGAAATAGAAAGTTTACTATAAAAAATAATATGGCGTATACATAAGATTCAGAAGGTTTTCTGCATGCATAGAGGGTGGCTTTAAAATCTATGTTTTGTACGCTAGCGATGGATTTGTTTGGCCCCACTGTTTTTACTTTTGTGTTTGTATTTGGAGTTGTAATAACAGAAGGCGAAAATGTAAATATTACAAATTCATTTACATGACACTTCCTGGTCACTTATCTGTACAGCAGATACACAGAAATATGTTCCCTATTTTGTTGTCTTAACTTTAAAATGTGGATATTGTTCAGTATTCTGTTAGAGGAATAACTTTTTTAACTTTAATTTCAGTAATAAAGTATAAATGTATCATAAAATTCTGATTCTGTCACTTATAAAATATATTGGCTGGGGCAGGTTTTTTAACCTCTCTAAACTTCAGTTTCTGTGCCTACTAAATGTGAGTATAATAATAGTACCTAGTTTATACATTGTTGTGAGGATTAAAATGTTGATTGCTTGAGCTGTGCTCAGCACATGGTACAAAGTAGTCAAGAAAAGTTCCTATTAATAATAATAAATACTGTATTGACCTGTGTAATTTAGTTATAGTTTTTGGTAGATAGACCGTAAGGTATCACATAACTTATGGTCAAGTTGAATGCTTGGTATTATTTAGGGTCTGTGAATGTGAACTCACAGTAACATCTTTTTTTTTTTTAATTTGGCTGCGCAGTGCGGCTTGCGGGATCTCAGTTCCCCGACCAGGGATTGAACCTGCACCCTCATCAGTGAAAGTGCAGAGTCCTAACCACTGGACTGCCAGGGAATTCCCAGTAACATCTTAACGGAGGTTTTTGTTTTGTTTTTTAAACATGCAGCAATTATAGAAAAACAAGTGCTAAGAAAGTGGTGCACGGTGGTTTGGAAACAACAAATTTATGATCTAAATAGCTTTTATAGAAGCCACTGATGACCTCAAAGTGTCTAATGTCTCAGTCTTGATTTACTTGATTTACCAGTCATATTGATTTTGTGGATCACTCTCTCCCTCTTTGCTACATGCTTCACCTGGCTTCCAAGATACCACAGCAGTCTCGATTTTCTCCCTCCTTTACTGCTTGCTTCTCAGTCTCCTGTACTCCACGGTCTCTTAATAAGTGGTGTATCCCAGGACTCAGTCCTTGGTCCTTTTTTATTTGTCTACACTCACTCCTTTAGTGATCTTATCCAGTTTTATGGCTTTAAATACCACCCATATACTCACAACTCATAACGTTGTGAAACTTTCAGCTAAAAGATAATTTGCTGCATTTAACAATTGAAATTCCTAGAAGGATGTCTCCATCATTTTGCTTATCACTTTAGACATTCCAGGTTGGTGAAGTCTTTCCAACCTCCTTCCTTTTTTTTCTTTTTCTTTTTCTTTTTTTTCCTTGGTGGGTGCATTTTATTTGGAGATTTAAGAACAGTTAGATATTTAGAAGCAGTTTATAGTGAGAGTAAAATCAAGTCCAATACTTCATTCCTTCTTGGCAACTAAAGTATAAAAGGCTCTGTGTTCAGGAAAAGTTAGGAAAATAGGCCATTCTGTACATACTTTTTTCCACCATGACGATTGTAATGGGAAAAATTGGATGTTGGCTTGTACCTGTTTATTCAGAAAGAGAGTAGGATAAATCACTTTTCTCTCTACTGTCCTCTGATGCTAACTTTTTACGTACAGACAACCCAAGTCAGTTCCAGTATTACAGCTGATTCACATATTTTAAGCCAGTGATACTAGAGATGCGGGAGATCTGGTAACTGGGCAAGTTCTGGGGGCTTAGCTTAAGATTTACTTGAAAGCTGTGTCTGCTCTACCTCTTTATGCAGTTTCATATGAAACTTGGGCAATAAGATTTTTTTTTTAGTGTCTTTTTTAGGAGCTGGGATTTTCACTCCAGCTACCGTTTTAAACCCCAGTAATCAGTCTGGTTTTCGCCCATTACCACATTTAGGTTCTCTTAATTCTCAATTATTGGTCTTATTGCTTTCTGCCCTGAAATCCAGTAGATCTTTGTGACTTTAGCTCCTACTTTAGCTCCTACATTGCTTAGCATTTTTCTTTCTCGTTCTTGAATATTTTGTGGTGGTGGTGTTTTTTTCCTTTCAGTGGGGCTATGACTTTTAAATGTTCTCCTGTCATCTCTGTGCATTTGAAAGTAGGGAAAGGGACAAATAGTGTTAATTTTCTTCATTGCTTTGAAGTTTTAGTTGTAGGCTTTTCTTTAATATAAGTTTTATTCTTTTAAAAGTTTCTTTATCTTAGCTTTATTATCACTTTCTATGAAAAGAATCACAGTTGAAATCACAAGACACTGAAAAAAAATATCTTAACCTCCTAAGGTTTATATGAAACTGCTTAACGAGGATGGTCATGGACATAGGCTTTCATTCAAGTCTTGAGGTAATCCAGCAACTGTAACTCAGTATCAATTTTGTGTACTGAAAATACTAGTATCTTTTAAAAATTCAGAATTTGTTTCTTAAAAATTGGTACTAACTAGAATAAGTTACAAATGTAAAAATTTATAAACATAGAACCTCAAGTATAAATGTAAATATATAAATATGTATTACCCCTACATTATCTTCTGATGTAAATTATTAGCAAATTAAGGTATTAGTATTATTCAAAAATAAATATTACCAAAAAAACTTAATGCACAAATGAAATAGTATGTGATCTTTAAGAAATAGTTTAAAAAAAACAAAATAGTATTATTGTTGAGTTGAGCAACTGTTCAAGTGTTCCAACTGCTGAAAAAGCTCTCTGACTCTACACTAGTGGGGTATATTATGGGAAAATATTTATAAACTTTCCAGATTTTTTCCTGTTTATTTAATCTTTGTGTAACTCTATTTCTCTGTGATAACTTTCAGTTCTTCTAGAATTAGTAAATTAAAAACTCAAGTTACCTTTCTAAGTTTTGCATGTAATTTTCCCCACATTTTCTCCCTACCCAGATCCTCAAAAGTTCTCTTTATTACTGTTTTGTTTTCTGTAATCCTCCAGCTTCCTTCTTTCCCCTTCCAAGCTTCCACTGGTGGTTGAGATGAGGGAGATGAGTTAAGTATATTGAACCTCTAAGATTTAGGTAGTATTTTGCTACATCATTTTCTAATAGCAAGACTTGGGCATGCCAAAGTCACTTAATCTCTCTGAACTTTAGTTTGTTTATTTTTTAAATGAGAATATGTCCTTCTGCCCTCCTCATTTACTTGGGGATGAAACAATATATGCACTAGTGTTTTAAAAATACTGTTTTCTTCACAAGCATATCCATTAAGTAATTTGAGACTTGATTTGTTTCTTACTAGTTTTTTTCACTCCCACCAAGTTATATGTATGTACTTTTTCATATTTTGATTATAAATTTAATGCATGCTTGTTGTAGAAAGTCTGGAAAATACAGAAAACTTACAGAAGAAAATAGAAACCTGAACAGTGCATCATCCTGTTTTCATGTTTTTAGGGGAAATTTAGTTTTGAGCCTGAATTTCCTGAGGGTAAGGATAGTTAGTGTCTCACTTATGTTTAGATTTTCTATTCTTTGTATACACTAGGCACAAAATTAATGCTTGTTGAATGAATGGGAACTAGTCTGGGTGTATTTCTTAAAGTCAAAAGCTTGGTAAAATTTTACTGGACATTGGAAGAGAGAAAAGACATCTGACTAGCAAAAATAATAGTGGATGCATATTCTAAAATGACGTTTTTCTCTTGGCTAAAAGTACAATGGAAAACGTGATAGGGTCAACCCTAATATTCTCTGGCAGAAGTTAGGAAACTATTTAAAACTATTGGATATGGTGCCACTGGGGGCAGTTTCATATCAAAGTGGATTAACATTTACTCAGTGAGAACAAAACAATAAAATTTAAAGGCTTTTTATCTTGAATGCTTGAAAATTGTAACAACTTTCTTTTTTCTCTTTTTATTTTTTTGTTAAACAGGATGGCTTAAATTCCTTGGTCCTTGATTTGGATTTCCCTGCTTTGAGGAAAAACAAAAATATAGATAATTTCTTAAATAGATGTAAGTATGTGTAAATTTCATATTTGATCATATGACTCTACTTTTTTTTTTTTTTTTTTTCGGTACGCGGGCCTCTCACTGTTGTGGCCTCTCCTGCTGCGGAGCACAGGCTTCGGACGCGCAGGCCCAGCGGCCGTGGCTCACGGGCCCAGCCACTCCGCGGCATGTGGGATCTTCCCGGACCGGGACACGAACCCGTGTCCCCTGCAGCGGCAGGCGGACTCTCAACCACTGCACCACCAGGGAAGCCCTGACTCTACTTTTGATAAGAGATTTATGTTTAATTAATATTATTACAGTCCACAAACTTTTAATTTATTAAATTTTTTGTTTGCCATTTGATTTATTTAAATACTAATATTCTTTATTTCAAAGCAGAATTGCCAAATCAAAGTATGTAAAGTAGGTAAAGTTGAAGATTTTGATTAAATTAAGATTGCTTAGAATTTCAGGACAGGTCATTTATGGCAGTTCCAAGAGAAGTTTTCAATTAATGTTAACAACTCTAAGACTTAGCTTTACATTATCCAGAAGACTTAATGAGCTTTATGTTTGTATAAATGTAGACATTTCAGTCTAGTTAATGAAAGATAATGTGATAACAGTTATTACCATAAACATAGTAACTATTAATATATGCCAGTATTGATGTTGCAATGAAGTTGTAAATGAAGTTGAATTCTGAGAATAAGAAATTCTCAAAATAATTATATACACTTTATGTGAACACAGTATGCTCTTTAATTTGGAATTAATCAGAGACTAGGCTGTTTTCCTAATTAAAAAATCTTATCTATAGTTATCAAATCTACAATATGTGATTACTGTTTTTCAAAGAAGTAATCTACCAATATTGATGATTGAGATTAGCCTTGTGTACTTTCATAGCAGCTTTCTGCAATGATTCAGAGTGTACTTCAGGATTGCCTGGATCACCATAGTTTCAGCTGTCATATAACTTGCCAAGCAACAGAGTCAGAAACAGAATAGTTTAACTGCTACTTTTTGGTAGTCATTAATGTGTTTATATGTGTTAAGCCAGAGAGTTTTGTCCTTTGATGTAAAGTGTATGTGTCTTAGAGTTTTAAATAGCAACCTTTAAAAATTGACAGATTTAGCTGGAAACTAAGCCCAGTTTCTTGAAATAAAAATTTGTTTACAAATATGATTATTTTAAAAGGTTGCTTATCAATATGGTGATTGATATTATGGTGATCTTTTTACTGTAGATGAGAAAATTGTGAAAAAGATCAGAGGTCTACAGATGAAGGCAGAAGACTATGATGTTGTAAAAGTTATTGGAAGAGGTGCTTTTGGTGAAGTCCAGCTGGTAAGAAAGAATATGTTTTGTTCTTTTTATTATTTCTTTTAATGACATGGTTTTGTGAAACATTATCAGTGGCCCTTGAGTAAATCTAATTTCTGTGTCCAACCATGCCAGAAAATTAGTTTTATGAGCTTGGTCAAGTCATTCCATCTCTGAGAGCCTCAGTATCTTCATCTATAAAAAGAGATAATTGTGCTATAAATACCAGGTCTTTTCCAGCTCTGAAACACTGGGATCTAGAATAAGGCCAACTTGGCTTCACTCATGATCTGCCTAGCAGTTAATATTCTTCCAGAACTACTGTGTTTTTATTTAGTATGTTCAGATTAATAACATCTCTGCTTAATTAACTGAGATTTATTTAGATATCCGAGAAACCCAACAAAGGCATTTTAATAACTGAAAGTAAATATAAAATTTACCTTTGTAGACCAAAGTGGTAGCACTGGAAATACTTCTAAATGTTTTCAAATATTTCAGATATTTTATTTATATTATTATATGAAGAACTATAATGTAATATTCCTATTTTCATCACCCGAATATGAAACTCTTCTTTTTTTTTTTTCTTCTTATAGTTAAACTATGGATTCAAATTCTGTTTTTAACTTAATAGTGCTTTATTCTTGATGGAGCACCAAGAAAAACTGACTATGTGCCAGCATGGGTTTCTCTAGGAACAAGTCATGACAGACTAACCTTTTGTCTTTTTCTCTTTCATTCCTTCTTTCTTTGATAGGCTTATTGAACTTGTAGATCAGGATAGTGCAATAGGTGTAATATATATCCATAAGATATTTGAAAAAGTTTGACATACTTGAGGATGATACGGAGAAGTGTCAACGAATAAGCATATGGATAGGGACCTTTATAACTACGTTAATAGCTGTATTCTAAGGAGCCCGATGAAGGCATGAATGGTTCCTTGGACAGAGATCCCCAAGGTCAGGTTTTAGGATTCTTTCCTCTCCTATTAAACATTTTATTAATGACTTGTATGGAGGCAATGGTGGCATGTTGAATAACTTTGCAAATGAGTTAAAACTGGAGTATGAAGATGAGCCAAAACCCAGAAATCATCAAATGGGGAGGTCATTAGCCAGATGGAAGAAGTGAAATTTAACCAGAATAATGACCTGTACTTGGGTGTGAAGAACTCAAGGAATAGATTGCTTAACAGTGATTATGAATTAAAGAACAATTTTCCTGAATGTAAACCAGGCAAAAGTCATTGGTGACGTGGCTACCCAAAATAGTAGTTTGGACTGCTGTAGTAAATTTCTAAGATAATAGAGATAAGGTTTTCTCGAATTTGAGATGACTGGGCCATACCTGGCATATTTAATCCACTCTAGATGCCCTGTTGCCCTGTTTTAAAAGGGACGAATAATGCCCAGGGACTTGAAATAATGCCGTCTGAGGTATGGTTGAAGGAATTGAGATGTTGATTGGGAGTAGATTTGAAGAATGGGCTGCCTTTGAAAGTAATGAGGTTTTGTTTTTGTTTTATTTTTGTTCTTAGTCAGTGAAAGTGCTGAAGCTTCAGCTGGTAGAATGCTCTAGTGGGTAGGGTGGGTGATTAGATTACATGACTGTTGATATGACAGTTTCTATAAGATAGGGAAATTATAAAGTAGTTGAATCCTAGCTCTGCCATGGTCAAACTCAAAAGATCATGGTGAGTTCAGGCAGATTTCTCAATCTCTCTGAGTTCCAACCTGTAGAATACAGATAATAACAACTATGTTATGGGGGTCGTTATAGGAAACTAAATGAATTAACAAAATAAATAAGCCTGGTTGTAGTGTTCTCTGAGTGTTAACCATTATTATTATTTAGTATTTGATATAGGAGTCATACTATTGTGTGCATGTTTCAAATACAATACATGTATTTGAAACAGGCACATTGTTTCTTCATACTTATTTCATTGTGGTTAGGGAATAAACACTAGAATTTGAAGTTGCAATTTTGGGGGGAAATATGACAGACCTTAACTTGTCATGTTTTTGTGTCAGGGTAGTCATTGTTCTGTGTTAGATTAATTTGATCATTAAAGTTCAATATGTTAAAGGAAAGGAAAACATAGAAACAGAGGCTTTTATTTTTGTTGTTAATTTCCATCCCGTATTTCATTTTGGCCACAGGATATGCAGAAACAAAGTCATATGTTTTTAAAAATGAAAAATATTTTAACGTTCCACTAATTCGATGACCTGACCTGAGAGCTTGTACATGTTTGTTTTGGCTTTAGTTCTTGGTTGTTACCTTAGGCAGGGACTCTTAAAAAGAAGAATGAGATTGAAAAGGGAAAAGCCCAAGTGCTTCTCCCATAGCCTTTTGAAGTTGATTCGTATGTGGAAGATAAGTTAGCTAGGCAGATACGTAGGGAATGTTCCATATTTGGCACATCTTTATGATTATTTTTTCTACTCATCTGAAAAAAGTGTTACAGTAGTAGGTGCAAGTGTGTCTTCCCTTGTGAAATGCTTTTTCTGGTCAAGTAAAAATACGTTGTCACAGAGGACCTACCAGTCAATTTCCACGAAGAAAATTCTTATTGTAAAAGTATCTTTGGTATGTCACAGCAACTGTACTGCAGTATAAGAGCTAGAGTCCAGACTACCTGCGGTTGAATTTAGACTCTTTTACTGTCTAGCTGTGACTTCAGACAAGTTACTTAATCTCTCTGTGCTTAGTTTCTTATCTGTTAATGAAGATAACAATAGTGTTTATACCTCATGAGATTACTGGAAGAATTAAATGTGACAATATATATAAAGCATTTGGAACAGTTCTTGGAGTATATTCAATAATAAGTGTTTAGTAAATGTTAGCAATTAATTGTCAGACATAAAACAGAGCATTTATCTATATCCATCAATGAAATAGTTAATCAGGATCTGTTATGTTCCAGGAGCTGTGCTAGCCTCTAAAGATACAGTAACATAGCCTGTATCTTGCTGAAAGTGGTAGTTTTGTGGAGGAGATGAAGAATTTTACTTTAAACAAGTAAAGTTTTTTCAGATTACAATAAATGCCATGAAGGAAAAGATCTGGGTGCTATGAGAGAGAATAATGGAGGAATGTGCCTTATTCAGACTGGGCAGTTAGGAAAGGTCTTGCTGTGAGAAAGTGACATTTGAGTTAAGTTAAAGGAGTTGGCCACATGAAGAAGTGGGGATGGAGTGGGAGTTAAAATACAGAAGGAATACATGTGAAAATGTCAGAGTCAGGAGAGTGACAAGTCATTTAATTTATTTGGGTGTAGATTTCCTCATCAGAAAAGGCATTTCTCCTGGATTGAAAAGTTCTATAATCCCTGGAGGGCAAAATTTGTTCAGCTTGTTGTCTTTTGTCTTTATTTCCCCTATCTACAGAGGAGATGTACATTTATGTTTTTATATCATGAAAGGTCCACAACAATGGATGGTTTTATCTAATGTCCCTCTTGTTTTTGGATTCTACTCTTTTGGAATATTTTATCACATCTCATTTTGATGGAACATAATATGAGTCAGTATAGTATATTGATTAAGAGCATGTACTCTGGTGACTTCCATGGTGGTCCAGTAAGACTCTGTGCCTCCGCGGCAGGGGTGCAGGTTCCATCCCTGGTCAGGGAACTAACATCCCACATGCTGCGAGGTGTGGCCAAAAAAAAAAATGGTGAATCAAGGATTTTGAAATGAATTTATAAATAAATGTAAAACTGGCTTTAAAAAAAAAAAAGCATGTACTCTGGAGCTAGACCTCTCAACTACCTAACTTCTTTGTGACTTAGTGTCCTCATTTGTAAAGTGAAGATAATAATAGTTCATTATTCATAGGTTGCTATGAGTATGAAATGAGCTAATATGTGGAAAATATCTAGAATAGTATCTGACACATAGTGAATAGGTAATAAATTGTAGGCTAAAATTGGAGCCTGCTGGAAAAGCAGTTAAAGTCCTTTTAAAGATTCATTTACTAATTTCACATATTGGCTTAACAAAACATGTTTTTATAGTTAAGGTAGTAATGTTCAACTTTTAATAGATATTTTTGCATAAAGTACTCTGGTACTGTGGAAAAACAGTCAAAACCATCTACTTTTGTTTCTGTTCTATGGTATGCAGATTTCCTGTCATAAAAGGTTTCATTTCTTTATCTTGGAGTGGCACTAATAATAGAACTTTTATAAGAGGTTTTGTGAGGACTAAATTATGTTATACATATGTGGTACTTATCATGGACGTGGCACATTGTAGGTATCAAGTAAATATTAGCTGTTGTCACTATTGTCAGTTTCTGTGGATTTATGGCATTAAATGAGTTTTAATTTTGAATAAATAATCAGAAGTCTTGTTCTTACTTTCATATATATTTATGTATGTTAATTTGCTAGGGCTGCCATAGCAAAGTACCACAGACTGTGCTTAAACAACAGAAATTTATATCCTTACAGTTCTGAAGGCTAGAAGTTCAAGATCAAGGTGTTAGCATGTTTAGTTTCTTCCAAGGTCTCTCTCCATGGCTTGCAGATGGCCACCTTCTCACTGTGTCCTCACATGGTCTTTCCTCTGTGCATGCACATCCCTGGTGTGTCACTCTGTATGTCCTTCATCACCTCTTCTCATAAGGACTCCAGTCAGGTTGGATTAGCACCATCCCTAACTGCCTCTTTTTAATGTAATCATGTCTTTGAAGGCCCTGTCTCCAAATACAGTCACATTCTGAGGTACTAGAGGTTAGGGCTTCAAAATGTGAATTGTGGGTGAGGGGGACACATGATTCACCCCACTACAGTATGTATGTATGTATGTAGTATGTATGTATGTATGTATGTATGTATGTTGGGATGAATTTTTCAGTGAGATAACCTTTTGACCATGGTATGCATGCTTACTTTTTTTGTTTATGTTTATTAACTTTTCTTGGACACTAATTTTCTTTTCTTTGAAAAAGAAAGTTATAAATTCTAGCCTTGCAAATGCCTTCTTAAGGTAAAAATACAGTCTTCC